TACAGGCACGCGCCACCATGTCCAGCTAATTTTTTGTATTTTTAGTAGAGACGGGGTTTCACCATGTTGACCAGGATGGTCTCGATCTCTTGACCTCGTGATCCACCTGCCTCTGCCTCCCAAAGTGCTGGGATTACAGGCTTGAGCCACCGCGCCCGGCCCTGTTCTTTTTGATTAGGATTGTCTTGGCTGTGAGGGGTCTCTTGTGATTCCATATGAAGTTTAAAGTGTTTTTTTCCAGTTCTGTGAAGACGGTCATTGGTAGCTTGATGAAGATAGCATTGAATCTGTAGGTTACTTTGGGCAGTATGGCCATTTTCACAATATTGATTCTTTCTAACCGTGAGTGTGGAATGTTTCTCCATCTGTTTTTGTCCTCTCTTATTTCGTTGAGCAGTGGTTTGTAGTTCTCCTTGAGGAGGTCCTTTACATCCTTTGTTAGTTGTATTCCTAGGTATTTCATTCTCTTTGTAGCAATTGTGAATGGGTGTTTGCTTTTGATTTGGCTCTCTGTCTGTTATCGGTATATAGGAATGCTTGTGATTTCTGCACATTGATTTTGTATCCTGAAACTTTGCTGAAGTTGCTTATCAGTTTGAGAAGATTTTGGGCTGAGATGATGGGGTCTTCTAGATATACAATCATGTCATCTGCAAATAGAGACAGTTTGACTTCCTCCTTTCCTAATTGAATACCCTTTATTTCTTTTTCTTGCCTGATTGCTCTGGCTAGAAGTCCCAATACTATGTTGAATGGGAGTGGTGAGAGAGGGCACCCTTGTCTATGCCTAATTTCAAAGGGAATTCTTCCAGCTTTTGCCCTTTCAGTATGATATTGGCTGTAGGTTTGTCATATATAGCTTTTATCATTTTATTATATGTTCCATCAATACCTAGTTTATTGAGAGTTTTTAGCGTGAAGGGCTGTTGAATTGTATCAAAGTCTTTCTCTGCATCTATTGAGATAGTTATGTGGTTTTTGTCTTTGGTTCTGTTTATGTGATGGATTACATTTACGGATTTGCGTATGTTGAACCAGCCTTGCATCCCCGGAATGAAGCCTACTTGGTCATGATGGATAAGCTTCGTGATGTGCTGTTGCAATCTGTTTGCCAGTATTTTATTGAAGATTTTTGCGTCCATGTTCATCATTGTTACTGGCCTGAAATTTTCTCTTTTACTTGAGTCTCTGCCTGGTTTTGGTATCAGGATGATGTTGGTCTTATAAAATGAGTTAGGGAGGATTCCCTCCTTTTGTATTGTTTGATACAGTTTCAGAAGGAATGGAGCCAGCCCCTCTTTGTATGTCTGGTAGAATTCGGCTGTGAACCCTTCTGGACCTGGACTTTTTTTGGTTGGTAGGCTATTGATTGCTGCCTCTACTTCAGCCCTTGTTATTTGTCTATTCAGGGTTTCAGCTTCCTCCTGGTTTAGTTTTGGTAGAGTACAAGTGTCTAGGAATTTATCCATTTCTTCCTGGTTTACTGGTTTATGTGAGTAGAGCTGTTTGTGGTAATCTCTGATGGTAGTTTGTATTTTTGTAAAGCCTGGTGCCCATCTAACAGTGAAGAAAATTTTTGTAGGTGGTATTAAAGAAGATATGGAAGAGTATAATTTGAGAGACGACTTTGAAAAGTATGGCAAGATTGAAACCATAGAAGTTATGGAAGACAGGCAGAGTGGAAAAAAGAGAGGATTTGCTTTTGTAACTTTCTATGATCATGATACAGTTGATAAAATTGTTGTTCAGAAATACCACACTATTAGTGGGCATAATTGTGAAGTGAAAAAGACCCTTTCTAAACAAGATATGCAGTCTGCTGGATCCCAGAGAGGTCGTGGAGGTGGATCTGGCAATTTTATGGGTCGCAGAGGAAACTTTAGAGGTGGTGGAGGTAATTTTGGCCATGGTGGAAACTTTGGTGGAAGAGGAGGTTATGGTGGTGGAGGCAGTGGCAGCAGAGGTAGTTATGGAGGAGGTGATGGTGGATATAATGGATTTGGTAATGGTGGCAACTATGGCGGTGGTCCTGGTTATAGTAGTAGAGGGGGCTATGGTGGTGATGGACCAGGATATGGAAACCAAGGTGGTGGATGTGGTGGCGGTGGTGGAGAATATGATGGTTACAGTGAAGGAGGAAATTTTGGCGGTGGTAAGTATGGTGGTGGTAGGAACTATAATGATTTTGGAAATTATAGTGGACAACAGCAATCAAATTATGGACCCATGAAAGGGGGCAGTTTTGGTGGAAGAAGCTCGGGCAGTCCCTATGGTTGTGGTTATGGATCTGGTGGTGGAAGTGGTGGATGTGGTGGCAGAAGGTTCTAAAAGCAGCAGACAAGGGCTACAGTTCTTAGCAGGAGAGAGAGCGAGGAGCTGTCAGGAAAGCTGCAGGTGACTTTGAGACAGTCGTCCCAAATGCATTAGAGGAACTGTAAAAATCTGCCACAGAAGGAGCGATGATCCAGTCAGAAAAGTTACTGCAGCTTAAACAGGAAACCCTTCTTGTTCAGGACTGTCATAGCCACAGTTTGCAAAAAGTGCAGCTAGTGATTAATGCAATGTAGTGTCGATTAGATGTACATTCCTGAGGTCTTTCATCTGTTGTAGCTTTGTCTTTTTCTTTTTCTTTTCATTACATCAGGTATATTGCCCTGTAAATTGTGGTAGTGGTACCAGGAATAAAAAATTAAGGAATTTTTAACTTTAAAAAAACAAAAAAAAGAATCCAAAATACAGGCTTTTTTCCACATTTCCCCCCTACTCCTGCTTCCTGACCAATCCTGCTGGCTCCCCATGTGGTCTCGGGTAGCAAGCCATACCTCCTGTTTCAAGAGCTCTAGGAGTATAATAAACTTCCTTCACAACATTTCCATCTCTACATGTCTTACTATACCTGATTAAAACAAATCCTGGACATTGTTAAAACAACTTCCCACTCACTACAATGGTTATAATAAAAAAGACAGGTATTCAATAATAACACATGTCAGTGAAGACGTGGAGAAATTGTAACCCTCATACAGTTCTAGTGGAAATATAAAATGGTGGAGCCACTTTGAGAAAAAATTTGGCACTTTCCCAAAAGGCTAAGTATTTCTGCCCACGTGTTTATATTCAAGACCCATCATATTACAAACTTACAGCTATTCAATTAAACCATATACTCTACTGCGTCCAAGTATACAGAAGTTGCAGATATTCAAGTTCCTGTTTATCATACACACAAAGAAAAAAAATCAACTATAAATTGATTATTTTGAGTGCACAGATATTCTAAGCCAAATATCCCATTGGTGGTTAAATTTCCAGTCTAGACAAAATGATGACAAATAATCATACTCAATAAACCAACTATATTTTTATATACTGTTATCTACCCTTGTATAAAAAAACTTAGTGAACTCCATACCTTTTTCTCTTTAGACTTCTGGCCAGTATGAGATGTGACATTCTCATTTTGGTGAACAAACTCTTGAGCTACAACTGTTTTTACAGGGTCCCCTTCAAAAACACAGTTTAGAAATTGCACTGTGTGTTCTAATGAATAGCTGTAGAAAATTTAAGAACAAACATAATGTCAGTAAATGAAAATAAGTTATGTGGAGACATTAACACAAGAATCTTCAAACATCTTACAAGAATATGAAAAACTGGCTTAAGTTAAATGCTTAACATGGTGTATCTCAAAAAAATAATCAAGAATGATCAGAAGGAAACAATCAAGTAATAGGTTCTCAAAAACTAATTTTCAAAAAATGAATACCAAAAGGTAATATTGATAATTCAACTGCTAATCTTGCTGTGCAGATTACCCACAACATATCTTTCATTTTATCACCTACTCTTCTTAAATCCTTTGTTGGATTCACACTTGGTTTCCCTCAAACAACAAACACAGGCAATAGATCTTTAAGTTGACATTTTTATTGTGCAAAATCCCGTTTACTTTTACCATGGGATTCTAGTCAAATTCTAAGTAAGGATATAGAAAATAAAAAGTAAAGCACTACCCTACCTCTCATGCCCGCATTATATAGTCGTATCTTGAGGGTGATACTATAGTATCTGTAGAATGAAATTCTACAAATTGACAAATGTCTGATACACTCATGTTCCAATATCTAAAGAAAATCATTCAAAAAAATTACATATGATTTTATGCTGCTCAGTATTTCACACTATTTATGTCTCTCACCTCTTCCATTGGCCAGATACTGAGGAACTGAGCACATACGAATATTTTTTGAAATTTGGTTAACTAGGCTGGGTGTGGTGGCTCATGCATGTTATCCCAGCGCTTTAGGAGGCTGAGGCAGGTGGATCATCTGAGGTCAGGAGTTCAAGATCAGCCTGGCCAACACGGTGAAACCCCATCTCTACTAAAAATATGAAAAAAATTAGCCAGACATCATGGCATGTGCCTGTAATCCCAGCTACTAAATGAATACCAAAAGGTAATATATTGATAATTCAATTGCTAATTCTTTGTTGTGNAAAAAAAAAAACAAAAAACAAAAACAAAAACAAAAAAGATTCCACAATAAAACTGTAACAAAAATGTATTCAGCAACTTATAAGATACAAAATCGAGACATAGACACAAAGTTCTGTTCCTATACATGACAATGAACTTTCCAACAAGGAAAGTAAGAGAAATTAATCCCATTTACAATTGCATCAGAAAGAATAAAATGTGAGGGGTGGGGAGATGTTGGTAAAGAGAGAAAATTTCAGTTAGATGAGAGGAATAAATTCAATAAATCTATTGTACAGCATGGTGACTATACTTAAAACAATGTATTGTATTCTTGAAACCGATTGCTAAAAGAGTAGATTTTGTGTTCTCACCACAAAAAAATAAGTAGGTATGGTAATACATATGTTAATTAGCTCAATTTAGCCATTCTACAGTGTATACATATTTCAAAACAACATGTATACAACAAGTATACACAAATTTTATTTGTCATTTAAAAATAAAATTCTTGGCCAGGTGCAGTGGCTCATGCCCATAATCCCAGCACCCTGGGAGACTGAAGTGGGCATATCACTTGAGGCCAGGAGCTCAAGACCAGCGTGGCCAACATGGCGAGAACACATCTTTACTAAAAATACAAAAAATTAGCCAGGTGTGGGGGCACACACCTGTAATCCTAGCAACTTGAGAGGCTAAAGCAGGAGAATCACTTAAACCCAGGAGGCAGAGGTTGCAATGTGACAATATCATGCCACTGCACTCCAGCCTGGGGGACAGAATAAGACTCTGTCTCAAAAAAGAAAATAATAAGATAAAATAAAATTCTTAGGCATAAATGTAACCAAGGAGATGAAAGACTTCATACATTGAAAACTACAGGACATTGCTGAAAGAAATGAAAGAAGACACAGATAAATGAAAAAACATTTCCATGTTCATGGATTGGAAGACTTTATATTGTTAAAATGTCCATAGAACCCAAAGTGACCTACAGTTTCAGTACAATCCCTATCAAAATTCCAGAGGCGTTTTTTGCACTAATAGAAAAAAAATCCTAAAATTTATATAGAATTGCAAAGGACCTTGAATAGCCAACACAATCTTGAAAAAGAACAAAAATGGAGGCTTCACACTTTCTGATTGCAAAATATGTTAGAAAGTTACAGTAATCAAGACACTGTGATCCTTGCTTAAATATAGACATATAGATCAATGGAACAGAATAGCCCAGAAATAAACTCTTGTATACATGGTAAAATGGTCTTCAACAAGGGTGTCTAGAACACACGATGGAGAAATGACAGTTTCTTCAACAAATGCTGCTAGAAAACTGGATATCTAAAAGCAAGAAAAAAAAACAAAATTGGATTTTTTTCCTTTCAGCATATAAAAAATTAGCTAAAAATGGGCTAGACATGGTGGCTCACACCTATAATCCCAGTACTTTGGGATGCTGAGGCAGGTGGTTCACTTGAGGTCAGGAGTTTGAGACCAGCCTGGGCAACATGGTGAAACCCTGTTTCTACTAAAAATACAAAAATTAGCAGGGCATGGTGGCACATGCCTATAATTCCAGATACTCAGGAGGCTGAGACAGGCGAATCTCTTGAACCTGGGAGACGGAGGTTGCCTTCAGCTGAGATCGCACCATTGCGCTCCAGCCTAGGTGACAGAGTAAGACTCTGTCTCAAACAAACAAACAAACAAACAAACAAAAAAACAACCTAAAAATGGATTAAAGATCTAAATGAAAGATAGAAAACTCTAGAACTCCTAGAAGAAAACAAGGAGAAATCTTCATGACGTTGGATTTGTCAATGCTTTCTTGGATATGATACCACGGAATGTAGTGTTCATTGTGGGCTTTTCATATGTGGCTTTTATAGTGTTAAAGTAGTTTTCTTCCATTCCTAGTTTGTTGAGTTTTTTTTTTTTTTTTTTTAATCAGTAAGGTTTTTTTATACGTTTGAATTTTGTCAAACGTATTTCCACATCAGTTGAAATAATCATGTTTTTTTCTGTCATTTTTTATTACATTCATTGATTTTCACATGGTGAACCATTCTTGCATTTCAGGAATAAATCCCACTTGGTCATGGTGTGTAATCCTTTTGATGTGCTGCTAATTCTGTTTTCCAGTATTTTGTTGTTGTTGTCGTTGTTTTAACCATAATTGAAAAAAGAAAAAAGGAAAGAATAGAATGCCCAAATGGATATGAAGCTCAAGAGAGAGATCTGAACTTGAGAAATGATTAGAAAATAACCGGCCTGTTGGGACAATTAATCCATGAAGGGATGAGGACACCAAAAATGAATGTAGAGTTAGAAAATGGCTTGCGATCCTGAGCCCCGCCATCACTTAGGAAGTGGCAGAGGAAGGGACTCCAAACGAGCCTGGAAGTGACTGGCCAAATCGGAGGCAAGAACAAAGGCAGAATCAAGGAGCAGGGAGCAGTGGGTGTCCTCAGTAAGGTCCTGGGCATTGCACTCGATTATTGCTTATAGCACGCTATTCAGGACAGCCCCAAACTGACACTTGGTGCACATGGATATCAATGTAACTACTCATTCTGTGGATGGACTTCAGGGTGGTTTCCCCGAGTTGGATATGAGTGACCAACAAGATGACGTGGCTGAAGGGCAGAAACATAATATTAAGCAAAATATGCTGGACACAACCACATACTGTTTGATTCCACTAATACTGAGTACACAGGCATAGCTGGAAGGAGGCAGGAAGGAGGCTTCTGGGGTGTGAGGTTCTATTTCTTGACTTGGATGTCAGTTTCATGTGTTCGATTTGTGAAAAATCATCAATTATGTGATTAATAATATAGAAAGCTATTGAGTCCAAGTGTGGTGGCTCACACCTGTAATTCCAGCACTTTGGGAGGCCAAGGCAGGAGGATCATTTGAGGCCAGGAGTACAAGACCAGCCTGGACAACATAGCAAGACCCTGTCTCTTTATAAAAAATAATGAGCTGGGTATGGTGGTACACCTGTAACCCCAGTGCTTTGAGAGGCTGAGGTGGGAGGGTCACTTGAGTTTAGGAGTTCAAGACTGCAATGAGCTATGATCGTGCCACTGCACTCTAGCCTGGGTGATAAAATAAGACCCTGTTTCTGAAAAGAAAAAAAGGAAGCTATTGAGAGGTATAGAAAGATAAGGACTAAAAAGTGGTCTTTGGGGTAGATGTGGTGGCTCACACCTGTAATCCCAACACTTT